AACCGTTATGTACGAGGACTTACTGTGTAAGTAGTGTTCCTTCAACTGTTATGTACGAGGACTTACTGTGTACGATGTCTTCCTACAACTGTTATGTACGAGGACTTAATGTGTACGATGTGTTTGTACGAGGACTTCTGTGTACGATGTGTTCCTACAACTGTTATGTACGAGGACTTACTGTGTAAGAAGTCATCTGACAACTGTTATGTACGATGACTTACTGTGTTCGATGTGTTCCTACAACAGTTACGTACGAGGACTTACTGTGTACGATGTGTTCCGACAACTGTTACGCACGAGGACTTACTGTGTACGATGTGTTCCTACAACTGTTATGTACGGGGACTTACTGTGTTCGATGTGTTATTACAACTGCTATGTACGCGGGCTTACTGTGTACGATGTGTTCCTACAACTGTTATGTACGAGGACTTACTGTGTTCGATGTGTTATTACAACTGCTATGTACGCGGACTTACTGTGTACGATGTGTTCCTACAACTGTTATGTACGAGGACTTACTGTGCACGATGTGTTCCTACAACTGTTATGTACGAGGACTTACTTTGTACGATGTGTTCCTACAACTGTTATGCACGAGGACTTACTGTGTACGATATACTCTGACAACTGTTATGTACGAAAACTTACTGTGTACAATGTGTTCCGACAACTGTTATGTACGAGGACTTCCTGTGTACGATGTGTTCAGACAACTGTTATGTAAGAGGAATTACTGTGTACGATATGTTCCGACAACTGTTATGTACGATGACTTACTGTGTAGGATGTGTTCCTACAACTGTTATGTACGAGGACTGACTGTGTACGATGTGTTCTGACAACTGTTTTGTACGAGGACTTACTGTGTATAATATGTTCTGACAACTGTCATGTACGAGGACTTACTGTGTACGATGTGTTCCTACAACTGTTATGTACGAGGAATTACTGTGTACGATGTGTTCTGACAACTGTTATGTACGAAGACTTACTGTGTACGATGTGTTCTGACAACTGTTTGATCACATGTCTCTGATCCTCGACCATGATGTCGGTACCGAAAAGCGAGCTAACACTGCCTGCCTTGTGAATGGGAGGGGGTGACTCGAGAGGGCTTTCCTGGCCCGATAAGTCACTACCACTGTTAGGATTGGAGATCTGTGCAGGCTGGTACTCCTAAAACAGACATAAGAAAAACAAAAAGTCAACAATGTCAAAAGTGACGACCATAAAACACAAGAAATAAAAGACATATTTAACTCCAACAAAAATCATGCAATCCACAGCAGGATATTTCCCTTGAAATCCGAGAAAATGTGAGGGCATCAACAATCAAATAGACAGAGATTATGTTTTTAATCCTGAGACGCTGAAATTTGATAGACAAAAATCAGCCTTTCTGAACACATATTTATTATTGTACCATACTTTGAGAGCGCTAGAGAACACAAAACAATGGTCTCTTACTCAGATCTTTATTGAGGGACAACACGCAAAGACAGATAGTAATAACGCAGGTAATCATTCATGCCAGCTAACAAATGTGTAATGTGTAAGCAGTTCTGTAAACTTTCCTCTTCTCCAATGGTTTCAACTTATATATTGTCCTCACAGATTGTTGTATTACCTTGAGGGAGAATGGCTGACAGAATTCTACCCTCACACTTCCAAAGTCAATACAGAAGATGCGCCAGATTGCAATCCGGGTACCAATAAATGTCTCCTTTTCTTTCGGTAGACCCTGAAACAGATATCATGATCCTATGTAACAGATGAAAAGATGTGTCTTGAACATTTACATGTTATTCAAGGTGTCTTGAGAGTTTATCAAATCAATAATTTAACTCATTCACCCCTATACATCTAAACTGGATTTGCCCAGTCTTTGATTTTATAAGGTTCATATGTGACTTTAGGGGTGAATTGGTTAAAAAAAAATCTATGCTGCTAAAGTGGCTTTGAAATGTTTAAAATTGATTTTTTTATATACATAAAATACATGATTATGCATGGATGAAAACCTTAATTTTCTCCATAAAAAGTCACAAGATTAAATATTTTTTAGTTCCAAATTTTTCTAGAAATTATAAATCCAGACAAAGTGCTAGGAACATCTACATAAGTGTTTGAATGGGTATCGGAAAGTTTTGAGGTGCTGACAACAAAAATCTACTATGACACAACACATACCACACATATATCGATAAATGGTTTATTTGTTGATCCAAATCCTCTCTTATTATCACCAACAGCTGCTGAATTCCATCAGTAGAGTCCTCAGTTTTCGATCGTTCAAAAGTTCCCACCTGAGCGAACACCATTTTCTAGATCATGACCATTTTCTAGACTTATCAATAAACCGTAGTGATCCGGACCGAAAACGGTAAAATACTATTCTTGTTAAGGACTCGCACAACTAAATCATTTACCATATGTTATTACTTAGCTTTTGTGCTGATAGTGTTAATATTTGAAGTTAAACACTAGTGACAACTATCTAGATTCACAGATACATACCTGTCAAAGGCTTCAAAAGACATTTTTGGGTGGGATTGGTGGCATATTAGAGCCCTACAGACATCTTCTTTTGACAACCAGAAGTTTACAAGCCAAACCAGTGAAGTGGGACCGGAACACTCTGACATTTGACCCCATTAACATATTAAAATCTACTAAAACTTTATGTTTTTCTAAAGTTCAATATCTGTAAATTTCGTTCAATGTACAATATGTCAACAATTACCTCTTTGAATTACTCAGAGACACCGTAACAAATTAGGTAGGGATTACAATTTATGTAACACTTGCTGATTGGCTGATTTAGTTGCGAGTCCTTAAAGGAACCCTAAACCCTTTAACATGTTGAAATAAACTTTTTGAAAGTATACACATTACCGAATAAAATGTTGAAGTTTGGTGGAAATAAAATAATAAGTTATGAAGAAAATCCAACTTATTGTCCCTGATGTACATGTACTATTCAGAGACAGCACCAAACATTTCTCTTTACATTTACATAACATTAACCTCTAGCAAACCAATTAAGCACATACTTAGCAATTTTACATTTTGCACACCGCCACTTTTTGTTGATTAGTCACTCCCCGATAGCAAACGGTGTCGGAGAATTCCAAGTTTTCATATAATAGTGCGCTCTGGCCCCACACCAGACATCTATCTGTCAAAATGTATGGTGTCCGCGCCAGAGGAAACTTGGGCTAGGAAGTTAGATGGGGTCGTTTTTTCGACAGCGGAAGCTTTCTACCTTTCTTGTATATATCATCACTGGTGTGTGCATTTTGATCTAACACCTTACCCTTTACATACCAACTGTAACAAGTTATCGAGTCTCTATGCGCTATTTCAGAGCTTATTCAAAGTATCTAGTAGTTCTTCATGGTCGAGTCCAGTTGACTTACAACATTTGACAAGGATTTCTTCATGAAATTCTTCAATCTGCATCAATGAAAATTAACAATCAACACCATCAATCTAACAACAACTCTGAACTGTTTGTAGGCTTTTTCATGTTTTAGGAAATCATGAAAGACCCACATACTTAATGTAACAGGAAACATCATGCCAGGTGCCACATGTGGTGACAGCAGGAATCATGCTGTGTGCCACATGAGGTGACTGGTGACGGGGTGCCGGACATCGTAGGTTTTGACTGGAGACATTATACCAGGTGCAAAGTTGTAACGGGAGCATCAAGTCAGGAGCCACATGTGGCGAAACGAGACATCAACTCAGGAGCCACATGTGGCGAAGCGAGACATCAAGTCAGGAGCCACATGTGGCAAAGCGAGACATCAAGTCAGGAGCCACATGTGGCGAAGCGAGACATCATGTCAGGAGCCACATGTGGCGAAGCGAGACATCATGCCAGGTGCTGCATGTGGTGACGGGGACATGATGCCTGTCATCACAAGTATTGGCTCCAGACATCGTGCTGATCGCCACCTTTTATGACTGGAGACATCATGCTTGATGCCAACTGTTACTGGAGACATCATGCTAGATGCCAACTGTGATGATGGGAGGCAACATGGCAAGTGCCACATGCTGTGTTGGGAGCATCAAGCCGGGTGTCACATGTGTTGACGGGAGTCATCATGCTTGGTATCACATTCAGTGCAGGAAGAGCATACCTTTCTGATGTCTCTCAATACTGCTATTTCATATAACATATGTACACATCTATAAGGGGCCATGTATTTTTGTTTTTTTCTGTTTTTGTCAGCCGCTATTAAACCTTTCAAAGGATTATTCCATATTTAATGTTTCTAAACACTGAAACATTTGGTCTACATTTGTGAAAAAGACTTTCATTTTGTATTCTTGCATTTATTTCACTCTCTCAAACATGATCCCAAAAGGTTTGCATAAAAACATAGACAAAGCAAGTTGGCACTTTTTAAGAACATTTCTGATATTTTTTAGACAAAATAAATGTTCCTAAGAATCTCCTTGAAGAGATGAAATTACTAAAAACATGATCTTGCAATTTTTTCGTTTTGATTTATTTCTCTGTCTTTGAGGATCATTCTACTACTGTTATAATATATATATATATACATGTCTATGAATTAGCATAAATATTAATTTGTTTGGAAAAGGAATGTCAATTGTTGGTGCACGATTCAGGATAACTGCCATCTTCTGCATAGAAACATTTCTGAGTAATATTTCTTATTTCTTGAGAAATAGCGATAACAACAAAAGTTTAAGAAGACAGTGGATAGAGAAAGGGCAATTTTAATAGCCCACTATCTGAGGATGGTGGACTAAAATTGATCTGACTTCTGAGCCACGGTCCCAACAGCCATGACTTAGTGATCTGATATTGCTTTCTTTGTCTTTTGAAGGCGTATGTTGGGAGGGGTGGGGGGAGATGGAGGGGGGGGATTAGCGCTAGATGCTTTTGTTGTAATGATGAGTATATTCATTCTTGCAACTAGATCTCAATATGTCTGGTGCTCACAACTCTTCTGGAATGTTAAGAGGTCAAAAATCATCTGATTCAATCAAGTTTGTCAGTGCCTTTGGTCTACTGATTTTGTTTATACATTAATTAAGTTAGTGACTACAGAACAAAGCCATAACCTTTTTATGAAAACAAACAGGCAACTTCAGTAAAAATAATGATTTATTGTCATAACAACTAAACTTGTCCTTTCAAACCTTAGTTAAGAAAGACAACTATCACAGACAAAGCAAGAGAATCACAAAACTCAGCTCAGTAGGGAAACATAAGTAGTATTTAGCAATATAAAATCAACAATGAGAAATTCAGTCTACAGTACACTCATGTACTGAACGTTTTACCTGCAAAGAATGTTAGTTAAACAGAACAAAGTCGAATTTCTATATAATTATATCTTCTTCACCTAAAAGACTGGAATAATCGGCAGGTTTCAAATCACATCTGCTTAATAATCCTCTCGACTGGGTCAACACTAGCTTTTTTTCTAAATTTATCTTGAATCTATCGAAACTGTTGAGGGAATTTTCACGATTTTACTGGTAAAGTATGATCAGTAAAAGAGGGGCTTTGATTTGATACCATATACAGTCTTAACAAACACATCTTTCTGAATTGTTAATACCAATGAGGAGAGAAGTCATTTAAAATGCAAGTACACAGAACAGAAATGTTTATCCAATCAGTGATATAAAGTTCTTACAATTAGGATGCATGTATTCATTTTGAAACTGCATGAAGTTTCAATAACAATAAACCTGACAGAAAATGTAATTAATAAGTGTCCACAATTTTAGTATTCAGTAGAGCAGTCTTACAATGAACACATCTAAGCTACTGTGCCACAAACCTTCGCTGTTTTTTCTTATCAGCAGGATTAAACTGGCATTATTTAATTTTCTTACACAGCAAAAGTGATTAAATTCCCCTTTAAACCACACTCGGGGTATAAAATGTGTAAAAGATATAAAAAAAAAAAGAATTATTATTATAATAATATATTTCATTTTCTTACAATTACATCTGACCCAGTCAACAACATAGTGTTGTATAACTATTACATCTGACCCAGTCAACCACATAGTGTTGTATAACTATTACATCTGACCCAGACAACAACATAGTGTTGAATAACTGTTACATCTGACCCAGTCAACAACATAGCGTTGTATAACTATTACATCTGACCCAGCCAACAACATAGTGTTGTATAACTGTTAAATCTGACCCAGACAACAACATAGTGTTGGATAACTGTTACATCTGACCCAGACAACAACATAGGGTTGTATAACTATTACATCTGACCCAGTCACGACTTAGTGTTGTATAACTGTTACATCTGACCCAGACAACATCATAGTGTTGTATAACTGTTACATCTGGCCCAGTCAACAACATAGTGTTGTATAACTGTTAAATCTGACCCAGACAACAACATAGTGTTGGATAACTGTTACATCTGACCCAGACAACATCATAGTGTTGTATAACTGTTACATCTGACCCAGTCAACAAAATAGTGTTGTATAACTATTACATCTGACCCAGTCAACAACATAGTGTTGCATAACTATTACATCTGACCCAGTCAACAACATAGCGTTGTATAACTATTACATCTGACCCAGCCAACAACATAGTGTTGTATAACTGTTACTTCTGACCCAGACAACAACATAGTGTTGGATAACTGTTACATCTGACCCAGACAACATCATAGTGTTGTATAACTGTTACATCTGACCCAGACAACAACGTAGTGTTGTATAACTGTTACATCTGACCCAGTCAACAAAATAGTGTTGTATAACTATTACATCTGACACAGACAACAACATAGTGTTGTATAACTGTTACATCTGACCCAGTCAAACACATAGTCATTGTTTGTTGGATTCTCCTCTCGTGACATCTTGTTAATTTACTTATAATTATTCATAAGAAATATTGTAAACAACTTCAACCCTGCACCTGGTGAGATAAGAATCAGTGAAGAAAAGGCACTGCACGCTTTAATTTGAACATAAACTTAAGGCATTGGGATTTTTTACCTTTTCATACCAATATACCTATAATTTTTATGAAATTGTATTACTTCAATTTTAACCGCAGTTTTTCCTACGGATTTCTGCACTGTAACTTTAAACATTTAGGCAAATCTGTGAATTTCGACAAAGCTGTAGAGTGTTTTAGGGAGACACTCCTGGAAGTTTATTTTGTTACGAGTCACGGCAGTGGCAGCAAGGCACTTCAGTGTGCAGTGTTCCATGGGACAAACACGGTACCCTGACGATATGAGTCTCTCCAGGGCACTCAACCCATCACTGTTCCTCACGTCCGCGTGAGCGTGGTTATCTAGTAGATACCCAGCCACCTGGTGGCTCTCGGAGTTTCCACAGTAATGGAGTACTGTATTACGCATGTTGTCCATACCGTTAACATTGGCACCCACGTCCACCAAAAGTTTCAACACTTGAAAAGATGGGAACAATGTATACGTGTATTCGTTTGTGGTCGAGGTTTCTGCCTCCATGGACAGGTGAAGGAGTGTCCGGCCGTCTTCGTCTTTGATACCTGTGTTCACTGCACACTCTGCTAAATGTTTCAGCCGATCCAAGTCAGAAGCATGAAGCTCTTGCATGAGAAGAAGATTCATCAATTGTAACGCCATTTTCATTAAAATGGCGATCTGTTTAGCTGCTTGCTCTTCCCGAGGCCGCACGTTGAACATTTTGCAGCCGAATTGCAAACTGCATATAAGTATCTCAAAGATGTCAAGCAGGTCCTTCGAAGGGAACTGAAAAAGACAAGAAGAACTTTATTTACTTATACTGTAAATGTATCTTTATTAACATACACTGCACTCGTGTAATGTCATCTTTAAAATACTTACCAGCCTCAAATACACAGTATGATTTTAATATATGCTAAGTTTGTTTAGAACACAAAAAGTGATTGAACACATATTTTAAAACTTTGAAAACGTCAGTTTACTGAAAATTACATTTTCAAATGTTGCAGAAAAAGGTTTCAGCTGTATAAAACATCACTTTCCTTTGTCAAATACATCCGGATCCATTAGAAATAGAGAATAATATTTAAGTGTAAGAAATACTGTTCAACAATAAAACTATGTAATTCAAATAAACGTTAAACAATAATGTTTGTCTGGTTTTAGAGTATACAGAATCTACAACCCAATACAATCATTTGTTTCATCTTGACCTTTGAACTTGATTTATGATCATGACTTCAACATGCTCATATATAGAGTGGCTAATTTATGGGCTGCAAATCATATAAAAAATTTGACAGGGGTAATAACTCTTATATAAGCCAAAAAACTCATTTTCACTGCTTCATCTGCTAGTACTAAAAGAAAGGGAGAATACTCAAAGAAAAATCACTGTTTGGAACTCTTCATGGCCATCGTAAGGATAATTTGACTCCTTTATAAATTCAAATAATCTTGACTCTTGGGTTTTAAATGACGTCTTTTTTACCAGTTTTCGCTCTCTAAAATTCTGGCAAAATTGAATCTTATTTGATTTCTGAAATTGCTAAATGTGACAGTTCAACTGAGGCTCTAGATCTAGATCTGAATGTATTTCTGAAAGTGTCAAAAACCTTCCCCTTTTGGATAATTATAAGTGTACCTTAGTCGATGTCTTGCGTTCTTGGGCAATATCTACGAATACTTTCATGATGGCTTGAATCCTGAAGGTACAATCTTCAGTGCAGTTCCTTCTCTTGTCAACAAGACGTTTGTAAGCACACTTCCAGAGTTTTATACAATTACTGTAATTGTTCATGTCTGCATACACAGCACCACAGTAGTCTAACGACCAGATGGTTTCCGAGTGTGATGGTCCAAGTATACGCTCGCGCACAAGTAGACTCTGCACCATGAACTCTTCCTTACTCGTAAGACCTTTGATCTCATCAGCGCTGGACACCTCCACATGATCCGTATATTTTCCTAATGTATCACAGATGCTTTTCAGAATTGGTTTTTCTCTTTCAAGGCCTCTCAGTTCCAAAGCATTCACCCAAACTTTGGAAGCCTTCTCATAATCATCTTTTTCAGCATCAAATGCTCCTAGAAGTTCATATGTCTCGATAATGTCTATAGGGTCAAGTGAAACATTTTTGGCTATATACTCCACAATCTCATGGCTTCCTTTCAATGCAGCTTGTCTAAAAGCACTCTCCTCAGTATCGTTGAGTAACGTGCAATCACAGCCTTTCTCGATAAGCAATTTCACTACGTCCAGTCTGTTTTCCTCAACAGCTCTGTGGAGGGTTGTTCTGCCATTACAATCCCTCCCTAGGACATCAGCACCATTATTAATCAAAAATTCGCACAAACTCAGAGAGCCTTTGCTGGCTGCATTCAGTAGAGGCGTGGCCCCGTATATGTTGGGGGTGTTGACGTCCGCGCCAGCCTTGATCAATTCCTTCACACATTCCGCACTATCATGTAGACAGCCCACCAGAAGAGCCGTTCCATTGGTGCTGGACGTACAATTGATGTCAGCTCCGAGACTGATCAACAAGCGCAATACCTCGATGGAATTGCGTTCTGTACAGCTCCAAAGTGGTGGAACATGATCATGAAAATGTTTGTGCTTGTAATGTCCTCTCTGCTCAATGTCTACCTTCCATTCTGACACTAGATATCTGATGATGTCTAAATGACCCTCTTCACAAGCAATATACAGCGCTGCCTTGTCGTTCACCAGATGATGTAGGACTTTGGAGCATACCTCGGCTGTCAGCTCTTTCGATGACAAATTCTCTTTCAAGACTTTTAACTTGTCATCTCCAGTACGAATTATGGTGTGGATAAAGTGTGCGTAAGAGTACACTTTTTCTGGAGACATAGTTTCCCACATTGTGTTGTTTGCAACTCATAAATTTACACGTACAGCATCATGCTACAACAAAAAATATAAACATTATGTCATTTAATATGAATTGTTGAAACCGTTAAATAATTAAACTTAACAAGTTACCTTAACATGTATTTTTTTCTTAAATAATATGTGTATAAATATATATAAATACTGAGAAGGTGTTTATATATTTTCACCAACACATATATATATTTCACCAAAGTTGTTTATTATTCTATACAGACATTTTCAAGTTTCCCTTATAATACAATTTGAAAACTATAAAGGAAAACTTCTGAAGCACAAAATATATGTCATTTTTTATTTGCAACAACAACAATGGTATGCTTATCAATGGCACAATAATTATATGTTAAACAATGCAATGAAATGCTGCATTTTAAATTGCCAAGATAGGATTTTTTGTAGTTTTTCTTTATAGTTTATAAATTGTACCACAAGGGAAGCTAGAAAATGTCAGTCTGTACATACAGAATAATAAAATAATTTTGGTGAAAATATTTGATAAAAATCCTGTATTTGGGTAACACCTACAAATGTACAGTAACATTTTATTACTGAAAGGGGGAACAAAGTGAATAAAGGCAAAATTACGTCATTCTTTCACTCTAATAAAGTGCAGGCGTTAATTTTTTTGTAAAATGTTAAACTGTATCACACCCTTTGCTTACAAGTTACAGTGTAGTGGAGAGTGGCCATGGCTACAGTATAATAAAAGAGGCCGTTGGTCAGCGTTTTCTATTGGATGTGATTTTGCCGACTGCGACGGCGCCTGTCAGAAGTATCACACTGTGTAAACCTCTAACACTGTGTTAGAGGTTTACACTTCGAGATACATTTGACAGGTGCCGTCGCAGAAATAGCTATACCAAGCTAATGTTTGTATGTTTATGGTATGCGACATTGAATAAATATTCTTGTATCTTGTATCGTTAAATAAATATTCTTGTTGCAGTCGGCAAAATCATATCCGATAGAAAAAAAGGCCGACCAGCGGCTTCTTATGGGGTCCAGTTCACTCTGACGATTGAGCTATATAGCTGTAAAGACCCATAATAGCTCTATTGACCTATCTGAAATAGGTTTTTTAAGCTATTTTCTTTTTGAAGGAAAACGAAACAAAGTCGCTTTTAAAAGAAGATTTTATCATTAGGTTGATAACAAAAGATATAAAAAATAATGTCAAAAAATCGAAAATTTTACATTTATGAAAAATAAAAATAAAGGTGGTAGGTAAATCTTGTACGCCGCTCCCGCTCCCGTCCCAAAACCCCGTACCAGACATATAGAGATATTTTAATATCTCATTAACGCGATCGTTTATATTTTTTATAAAATTATACAATAATTTCAAACATTATTTTCTAAATGTGACTGTTAATAAAATGTAAATTTATCATCTAATAATTTAGAAATTGACGATAATGTTTATTTCAAGGGGTAAAACTTGTACGCCGCAGTCAACCGTGAAAATCACGGTTTTTCATATATAATTAGATATTCAGTGAAAATTAACATGTTATTTTCAAATATATAGAACAAAATAACTTACTGGTTATAATTATGTAAGTTTCGTTGAAATAAACGACATATTTCATATGAAATTCTGACTTTGTTGTGATCGCGGGGAGTTTTGTTTACTCCCGTACCCGTGCTATGGGGACATCACTCCGTCAAGACTCGTGCTAAATATGCATAAATATGTAAAAAAAACTTTTAATACAACTATTTCATTATTTCTTTTTCATTTAATAATCTGCAATTTTTTTACATGTAATAAATAAGAGAATAATCCCTTATCGGAGTGATGTCCCCTTAGCATGGGTAAGGGAGTAAACAAAACTCAAAACTCCCCGCGATCACAACAGTCAGAATTTCATGTGAAATATGTTGTTTATTTCAACGAAACTTACATAATTTTAAAAAGTAAGGTATTTTGTTCTATATATCTGAAAATAACATGTTGATTTTCACTGAATATCTAATTATAAATGAAAAACCGTGATTTTCACGGTTGACTGCAGCATACAAGTTTTACCCCCTTGAAATAAACATTATCGTCAATTTCTAAATTATTAGATGATAAATTTACATTTTATTAATAGTCACATTTAGAAAATAATGTTAGAAATTATTGTATAATTTTATAAAAAATATAAACGATCGCGTTAATGAGATATTAAAATATCTCTATATGCTTGGTACGGGGTTTTGGGACGGGAGCGGCGTACAAGATTTACCTACCACCGAAAATAAACACCTAAATGTATACTTTTTGTAGTCAACATTACCATAAAACTTATTGTTTTGTGCGACTTTGCTTTGATTTAATGAAAATCGAAATCTGAGAAATTATAGCTCAATGCAGCTATAATTTATAGGTGAATATATACAGTATAGCTAGCTCAATCGGCAGAGTGTACTAGTACTGGCATGGACCTGCTTATGTTATACGAGCAGTGATGAGTAGAGTATAGCATAGATATTAAATAGAACATAGAAAAGTTCCTACATTTTCCACCTTCCTCAACTGCATGTACCTTAACTTAACATAGTTTTTAGTGTAGTGTCCGACCTAATATTTATGTCTCTGCTATTTAAATGAGGGGGGGGGGGGGCATATTCGCGTCGTTGCAGTTGTGCCAAACATATGCTGCTCCCAATGCAAGGACTTACGCACTGTAATCAATGAAGAACAAAGTCAGTTATATGGTTTGTCAATTTACTGAGTTACTTTAAACGCTTGAAATTTGTACTCTTACCTCTTCAAAATTCTGATATGGTAGTATCAAGGCTACAAGAGACAGCCAAGGAACATTTACCGTACACAATCGAATCCAGTTATTCTGACAGGAAGTGGAATGCTCACGTAAATAAATGAGACGCAAAGCGGTAAATAAATTCCGGACAACACAATAATGGTGGATAAAAAAAGTATTCACAGTTGTGTTACAAGATTTGTTTGAACAGAACTTAAGGTAAACAGTTTGAGCTCATTTCTAAGTGATACAGTCTCATTCGATATACTTGTAAGGTTATTTATTAACAGCGGTTATATAACTAACTTCACGCTACCACAGTTGGTAACTCAAGTTACACTTTCAGTTTTTCAGTGATATTTAAAAAAAATCAGATCTTGACAAAGCCGACTACCTATGGTGGTTCATTTTCAGAAAAACAAATTTAATTTTAAGTAGATCTAATTTGTTTTTGAAAATATGTTTAATTTGAACCCAGCAGAGCATTAAACCCAGAGACGTACCATAAGCCGCAATGGGGTAAACATAAACTAATTCAAGATTTTTTATCATATCTTTTCAATCATTTCTTTTTTATGATTAGTATTAACCGTTCGTATCAATCATAAAAAAGGAAATGATAAAAAAAAAAATCTTGAAAATTTTAGTCTGATGAAATAGTGTTATGTTAAATCTCGAAAGGTTATGTAAATCAAGAACGAATTAATGAATTCGAAAACACTTGTACAAAATTTGATATTATTCATATAAAAATTCGGGTTTTACTTGTTAATAATCAGACTTAAAGGATTTCACAGAATACAAGAGATTGCTTCTAGGGCTTAGTAGAACCACGGAAGTATCTAAGTCCGTGGTAGAAACTTTAAACGCTTGAAATGTCACATCCCTGGAAATGTGTACTCTTACCTCTTCAAAATTCTGATATACTAGTATCAAGGCAACAAGAGACAACTCTTATCTTCTCTTGTGAGCAGGTATTGAGTGTTACGTCATTTGTTTGTGAGAGTAACGTCATCAATTTTTGAGAAAACGACGTATTTTTTTCACACAAACCAATGACGTAACAATCAATACCTGCTCACAAGAAAAGATAACTCTGCAATACGCATAGACGGAATACCTTTGAGCAAGATACTTTACTCCGCTGGTTCCAGTCTACTCAGCTGTAAATGAGTACGTGGTTGGGCAGTGCTAGAATTGTCGAATGCTAGCTGTGAGCGCCGAAATGGCAGCTCCGGCTGTATGTTACCCATGAAGTTGAGAAAGATATTTGCTGGTTGCAAAGGCCCTATAACCACGGACAATAATGTGAGAAATGCTTTGAGACAACCTACGAACTAGGTTGTGATAAAGCGGTATATCAGAACCTCGAATTACTATTATTATTAGTCATAGGCGTAGCAGCCATAACGCAGAAACGCCCGTGCGTACACAAAAATAAAGTACAGTAAAATAAAAATCAAGTACAGTAAAAATGTTGATGTATATTAGTACGCCAAACCACCTAAAATACATTAATTATGTTAACCAGATAAGATTTGTGTTGTCAATTAATTATCTATTTTAGAAAAACGTCTGCTAAGTTACTTAGTTAGCTATATAAACAAGAGTTATCTCGCTTTGGACAATACATCTGCGACACGTAACAAATCGATCCGGATACATCCGCGGCAGATTTGGTCGAAATTTAGTATTAAAGGAAGTTGTTACTACACCGGCAAAAAACAAACATGGAGAAAAGTCAGAAAACAAGGAAAATTGACTCCTTCTTTAAACCAAAAAACAAAGACGATGCACCTGCTGAAAGTCCCGACGTTACCCCTGGCGATTCCGGGGCATATGCCAACATATCGACAGTTGTACCTGTCCCACTACTGGCTCCACACTACCCTGAATTAGGAACTAAATTATTTTCACATCTAGCGTGGTTGGTGTTGTTCTGACGCCTTTTCCCCTATATGTTGAAAATACTGGCTGCCCATATGGTTACTATGGTTAATTCCACGACGACTCTATGGATTGAATTGCCCGCTTATATCAAAAGGAAACATACGCAACGAAATAGGAGCAAGTTGCAAAGCTAAAAGTAGTTCAATCGATCAGCACTCCAGGAAAAGGTATTCCAACTCGGTAATATAACCTCGTCTTGAGCCGTTGAAATATATGCCCCATTCCCTTATGGAGCATAACAAGTTGCCCTTACCAAATAATTAAACTGTATTGTTATACAAACGTCATGTGTTATTTTCTTTAATGGAGCAAATTCATAAACCCATGCCAGAACACGGGAAATGGCTTCTGAGCCCTTCTAAAATTCTATTTTTTCCGGGGGACGACCTCCATACCCCCTAACGGGAGGGGGGATATCCCCCTCCTGTACCCACCCACCCCTCGTACTTCGCACATCGGCGTCGGCAGCACACGTAGCGTACACAAGTCAAGTGGGCCAGCTACGCCCCTGTAATAGTTGAAACATATTCCTGCTGTAACTCTATTGTGTTCGTGTCTGACTTCGACACTTGAATTCCATTGTACGTATCAATTCAGTATTTTAACATGTGTACTATTTAAGTCTCGCTACAGATATTTACAATGTATACGCATGTACTTTAAACATAAATCAACACCCGACTTTATACCTGTGTAATACTTATATACATACAGATAAGTTTACTGATTTTATAGTCCAACGCATCACGCTGATCAACACATGTCGACTTAGAATTTTATCAACATCGCATTGTGGTCGCGAAAATCTTATCTTGCCCCCTATACTGGAGCAGTCACCTTCTCTGAAATACTGGAGTCTCTCTCTCTCTCCCCAATCCTTTGGAGCCTCGCCACTCCCTTAATTCCCGATGCAAGTCCGTTTATCAAAACTCATAGTACATAAGTTATTAACTATACATGATCCCGTACCACCCCTTGTATATTTACCATATGGCAAATACAGTTACCCAGGGGCCTGTTCGTTTATGCGGAACAACCGGTTTGACCGTTTATAAATGTAACAATTTCGGGTATAAATCCTGGCGGACCTGCAAATGTGTATGCAGGCCTTGCAAGACTTTCTCAAGGCTCGCCTGAAAGCAGCATCAGATTACTAGGTCCGACCTTATTTAATAAACGAACAACAGTGGTCCGATCGGTTTGACCGTTTAAACGAAAACGGCCCGGTCTGGTTTGTGGAGTTCACACTCTCGTTCTTATCTCTATGTCATCCATGATGGACCTGGTCGCCACTAAATGGATACCCCTGTAGCATTATCTTCAATTCAACAGCCATGTTACATGTTCCGGTAAGTGTTTGTTTTTAGAATTATCTTACCGCAACCCCTTTCATTCTCTTGGGGCCCGGCCCCATCTTTTAAGTTCAACAATATACAAATGTAAAATAGGGTGGAAAAAGAAGTGAGCTATCGAAATTGGTGACAAATAAAGGAATAGTGGACGTCATAGTTAACTGGGCTACATAGAACGCAACAATGATGCATACGTCAGCGCCATCCATGAATTCAATTTTGCAGGAAGTACGGTACCATCACGGAATTAGGTTATCTAAGTCCGTGGTACCATGAAGTAAGGTCCAAATGTTTGGTAACATATTCATCGCAATAAAACATATAACAAATATCTCCGGTTCATTGATTAATTTTAATCTATTATTTGTTGTATCAATCCTTTGTATGTGTGTGTGTGTGTGTGTATGTATGTGTGTGTGTATGTATGTGTGTGTATGTGTGTGTTGAGAGAGGAAGTGTGTGTGTGTGTGTTGAGAGAGGAAGTGTGTGTGTGTGTATGTATGTATGTGTGTGTGTGTGTTGAGAGAGGAAGTGTGTATGTGTGTGTGTATGTGTGTGTTGAGAGAGGAAGTGTGTGTGTGTGTGTATGTGTGTGTGTGTTGAGAGAGGGAGTGTGTGTGTGTACGTATGTATGTATGTGTGTATGTGTGTGTTGAGAGAGGGAGTGTGTGTGTGTGTGTGTGTGCGTGTGTATGTATGTATGTATGTATGTATGGTATACATGTACAGCCAATACTTGATAATTCTACGCATGTTAATTAGTCTTGAATAATGTATTTTCTCTGCTGAGTTTTCAACAGTGCGTCTTTAATCAGCAGATATGTGCAAATTATGACGAGTAGATCAAAATTTCTGTTGTTCCTTTCTTAATTCTTTTTTCGGTTTCTTACATTGTTTCAAATTGCTGGATTGCACATTTTAAAGTTGTAGTTGTTCCCGTTCGCCTTGCACTATGTTGTCATTCGTTCTCATTTGAGAATGGGTAGCGATTTTTGAGACATAGAGTGGCGATCGGGATTTGTTCAAATCTATTTCTATTTTATTCAGTGTAAATCCAGGTTAAGTTTACAACCAGTTTTGGTTATCGTTGAGTTCGCTTTTAAAACACATACACTCCCTTGTCCTGTTCGTGGACTCTGCAGTACTTAATATTGAGTTTCTTTAATTTTACTCTCTCTTTTACTCACTCACATGAATGTCGAATCTAACCCAGGTCCAAACGAGTTGTCTATTTTTCATTTAAAAGTCCGAAGTTTTCGAAATAAATTTCTGTATATTGAAGATGTTGCTCACGAATACGATATTTTCTACTTAACCGGAACTCATTTAGACGAGCATTTTTCTTCTGATGATCTATGTATAGAAGGTTTCCATACACCTTTCAGGTTAGATAGAAATTTTGCGGGTGGGGGGATTCTTGTGTATGTACTAGAAACTGGTCTTAAGGTAAAACATTTATTTGATCTAGAATATCCCGGTGATGAAGTACTATGGATCATTGTCGAGCTACCTCAGTCCAGTATTTCAATTTGTACAATATATAGACTGGAAAATGCCGTAAGTCCTTTCTGGCATAACCTACGTGAATCTATAGATCGAGAATTACCCCAAGGCATATTTTGTCTGACATAATTTCGACGTACACTTTTTCAAATGTTATTTCGGAACCAACTAGATTCGGCCCAGGTAGACAAAGCCTTCTTGATCCGATCTTTTTATCTGACTCGTTAAATAGCATTGATGCATCTGTAGTAAATATAGACAGAAATATAAGTGATCATGACGGTAGTCTTCT